GGGATAACATTCATATCACGTCCTTGGATGGGAATAGGAGCTTGGCCCAGCCCCACAGGCCTGTTCAGCCATGAGGGAGAAGGGCAGAAACCCTCAGTTTTTAACTCCTCTCTATCTCACTTCCACATGTCCCTGTGTCACTACACCAGCATTGCTGCTGTTGCTCTCGTAGCCACCACAGAAATAGACGGCCTCGTCCTCGGCTTGGACCCCAGTGATGGTTAACGTGCCCGTGGAGCCAGACTTGGATCCGGAGAATCGTGGAGGGATGTTCGAGGGTCTGTTGGTGTTAGCATAGATCACAGTGACAGGGGCAGTGCCAGGGACCTTCTGCTGGAACCAGCCATAGTAGCCGGTGCTACTTCCAGAGCAGGTGATCTGGATGGTTTGTCCAAAGTTCTCTGACACTGAGGGCCCCCGAGTCAGCGCTGCCTGGACCAGGGAACCTGGAGAGGGAGAGGAGAGAGCAGAGAAGATGGGGGTCAGTATTTACCTCACAGAGAGAGTCTGTTGGTGCTACTACGGATCACAGTGACAGGGCCAGTGCCAGGGACCTTCTGCTGGAACCAGCCATACTCATAGCTGCTCCCGGAGCAGGTGATGCGGATGGTTTGTTCCACGTTGGCTGACGCCGAGGGCTGCTGAGTCAGCACTGCCTGGACCAGAGAACCTGGAGAGGAGAGAGAGGAGAAGACAGGGATCAGCCAGTGCCCCACGAGCACAGCTCTCCACAGAGAAATAGGGACCCTCTGCCCTAAGGTCCCAACGGCACAGAGGGACCACTGCCCCACAGACAGAGCCCAAGGCCTGACCCCAGGGGCCCTGCGAGGAGGCGTGGAAGAAGCAAGACAACGTGGTCATCACCAGCAAGAGGCAATGGGGCAGGCAACAAGGCAATAACTTGACATTTCCAGGAGAGGCAAGAGGTGTCCACAGCTCCAGAGCCACCGCCCGATTGGCATGGGACAATCAGCAGGACATTCACGGCCATGACATGCAGAGGGGACAAAACATGCCCCAGCCCCACAGCCCTGCTCAGCCAGGAGGGAAAAGGGAAGAAAAGCTCCATTCTTAGCTCCTCTGTAGCTCACATCCCCACCTCCCCGTGTCACTACACCAGCATAGCTGCTGCTGTCCCTGCTACCACAGAAATAGACGGCCTCGTCCTCGGCTTGGACCCCAGTGATGGTTAACGTGCCCGTGGAGCCAGAGTAGGATCCGGAAAATCGTGAAGGGATGCCTGAGGGTCTCTTGTCATTCCGGTAGATCACAGTGACAGGGCCAGTGCCAGGGACCTTCTGCTGGTACCAGCCATACCAGCTGCTGCTATCAAGCCCAGAGCAGGTGATGGTGACGGTTTTTCCCACATACACTGACACCTCGGTCGGCTGCTGAGTCACTGCTGCCTGGACCAGGGAACCTGGAGAGGGAGAGGAGAGAGGGGAGAAGATGGGGGTCAGCCAGTGCCCCACGAGCACAGCCCTCCCCACGCAGCGGGACAGGAAAGGCCACAGTCAGAGGGGAATGGAAGCAACCACAGTCAGAGGCATATCTGGGGAGCAGGTGCCAACTCAACACATCCCAACACAGAGGCAGCTCCAGCAGCAACAGGAGGATATGGTCATCAGTAACAGGAGGTAGGGGGACAGAAGAGAAGGCCAAACCATGATTTTTATAAGGATAGGAACGATGGTCACCTGCCATGGAGATATTTCCAATGCTCTAGCACACAAAGAGGAGGACATGCGCAGCCAGGGCCATGCAGGGGGGACACAAACCTGCCTCAGCCCCACCACTCGGTTCTGTGCCCGCAGTTTCACCAGGGTTGAACTCCCCTGGGGGGTTGCCCCGGGGGCTCCTGGTGCAGCCAGGTTGGGAGGAGGGCAGGGAGGCAGCTGGCAGGGCCCTGGGTGCCGGGTGGGGAGCACAGGGGACCTCAGCCCTGCTGTACGGGACAGGGACAGGGCTGCTGGGGGCAAACCCACCCCAAATGAGAGGGGACGGGCACAGACCTGGGTCACTAAGGGATGGCTGAGCCAGTCACACCAGCCACAGCCACCTGCAGCACAGGGCAGCAATGGCAGGGAAATGGGGAAGATCTGCCCCACCATCAAACAGGGACGGCAGAGACTCCTGACCGGCCTCTGCGATGGAGGGAGGGTTTTGTGTCACTTCCCCATTGCTCTGAGTCACCATTGTAGCTGCTGTCGGAGCTACCACAGAAATAGACGGCCTCGTCCTCGGCTTGGACCCCAGTGATGGTTAACGTGCCCGTGTATCCAAACACAGAACCAGAGACACATCAAGGAATGCCCGAGGGTCTCTTGTCGTTCAAGTAGATCACAGTGACAGGGCCAGTGCCAGGGACCTTCTGCTGGTACCAGCCAACAGCATAACTGCTGCTAACCCCGGAGCAGGTGATGGTGACGGTTTTTCCCACATCCACTGACACCTCGGGCTGCTGAGTCACTGCTGCCTGGACCAGGGAACCTGGAGAGGGAGAGGAGAGAGGGGAGGAGACGGGGGTCAGCCACTGCCCCACGAGCACAGCCCTCCCCACGCAGTGGCACAGGGACCCTGTCCCCAGAGGCCCCCGCCGGGCGCAGCCAGTCTGGCCAGGGCACCTGAGACATGGGCGAGCACCGCCAGGAGCACAATAGCCCAACCTGTGAATTTTGCAGGGACAAGGACAATGGTCCAAAGCCACAGAGTCACACCAGTGCTCTGGGACATGAAAGGGACAACATTCACAGCCACGGCTGTGCAAGGGGGACAAGACCCTGCCTCAGACCCACAGCCCCACAGCTCTGCTCAGGCAGGAGGGAGAGGGGCTGAAAACCTTCATCTAGCTTTCAAGTCCGTGTCTCATTTCCAATGTCAGTGACACTCACTGTCTCCAGACACCATAGCTGCTGCTGCTGTCCCTGCTACCACAGAAATAGACGGCCTCGTCCTCAGCTTGGACCCCAGTGATGGTTAACGTGCCCGTGGAGCCAGACTTGGATCCGGAGAATCGCGGAGGGATGTTCGAGGGTCTGTTGTTGTTGTTGTAGATCACAGTGACAGGGGCAGTGCCAGGGACCTTCTGCTGGTACCAGCCATAGTACCTACCACCACCGGAGCAGGTGATGGTGACGGTTTTTCCCACATCCACTGACACCTCGGGCTGCTGAGTCAGCGCTGCCTGGACCAGGGAACCTGGAGAGGGAGAGGAGAGAGGGGAGAAGACGGGGGTCAGCCAGTGCCCCACGAGCACAGCCCTCCCCACGCAGCGGGATGGGGACAGGGGCCCTGCTCCATAAGTTCCTCATGCCACACAAGGACCCAAAGCAACACACACAGAGCTCTGGGGCTCTGGACAGAGCTGCCAGAAGCAGGGACAGAGAAGGGAGGGACAGAGCTGCAGAACGGCCCCGGTCAGGGTACGGGCACGTTATGGGGGAGCGTAACCCTGCCCAGTCCAGAGCATCCCAGCACAGAGGCAGCTCCCACAGCAAGAGGATGATGGGGCCACCAGGAGCAAGAGGCAAGCCCTCAGGGACAAGGCAATGCCATGCCTCCTGCACAGCATGGACCAGGGTGAGAACATTCACAGTCAAGTCCTTGGACAGGAGCAGAATGTTGCCCCAGCCCCACAGCGCTGCTCAGCCATAAGGGAGAACAGCAGAATTTCCCCATTTTTAACTCCTCTCTATCTCACTTCCACATGTCCCTGTGTCACTACACCAGCATCACTGCTGCTGTCCCAGCCACCACAGAAATAGACGGCCTCGTCCTCGGCTTGGACCCCAGTGATGGTTAACGTGCCCGTGGTGCCAGACTTGGATCCGGAGAATCGCGGAGGGATGCCCGAGGGTCTCTTGGTGCTTTCATAGATCACAGTGACAGGGGCAGTGCCAGGGACCTTCTGCTGGTACCAGCCAACATAATCACTGCTGCTGCTGCTAACCCCGGAGCAGGTGATGCGGACGGTTTGTCCCACGTTGGCTGACACCGAGGGCAGCTGTTCCAGCGCTGCCTGGACCAGGGAACCTGGAGAGGGAGAGGAGAGAGGGGAGAAGACGGGGGTCAGCCAGTGCCCCACGAGCACAGCCCTCCCCACGCAGCGGGATGGGGACAGGGGCCCTGCTCCATAAGTTCCTCATGCCACACAAGGACCCAAAGCAACACACACAGAGCTCTGGGGCTCTGGACAGAGCTGCCAGAAGCAGGGACAGAGAAGGGAGGGACAGAGCTGCAGAACGGCCCCGGTCAGGGTACGGGCACGTTATGGGGGAGCGTAACCCTGCCCAGTCCAGAGCATCCCAGCACAGAGGCAGCTCCCACAGCAAGAGGATGATGGGGCCACCAGGAGCAAGAGGCAAGCCCTCAGGGACAAGGCAATGCCATGCCTCCTGCACAGCATGGACCAGGGTGAGAACATTCACAGTCAAGTCCTTGGACAGGAGCAGAATGTTGCCCCAGCCCCACAGCGCTGCTCAGCCATAAGGGAGAACAGCAGAATTTCCCCATTTTTAACTCCTCTCTATCTCACTTCCACATGTCCCTGTGTCACTACACCAGCATCACTGCTGCTGTCCCAGCCACCACAGAAATAGACGGCCTCGTCCTCGGCTTGGACCCCAGTGATGGTTAACGTGCCCGTGGTGCCAGACTTGGATCCGGAGAATCGCGGAGGGATGCCCGAGGGTCTCTTGGTGCTTTCATAGATCACAGTGACAGGGGCAGTGCCAGGGACCTTCTGCTGGTACCAGCCAACATAATCACTGCTGCTGCTGCTAACCCCGGAGCAGGTGATGCGGACGGTTTGTCCCACGTTGGCTGACACCGAGGGCAGCTGTTCCAGCGCTGCCTGGACCAGGGAACCTGGAGAGGGAGAGGAGAGAGGGGAGAAGACGGGGGTCAGCCAGTGCCCCACGAGCACAGCCCTCCCCACGCAGTGGGACAGGGACCCTGTCCCCAGAGGCCCCCGCCGGGCGCAGCCAGTCTGGCCAGGGCACCTGAGACATGGGCGAGCACCGCCAGGAGGAGAGGGGTCCAGGCCATGGCGCAATCCCACCAGCTACGTGTCCCCACGCCGATGGGGCTGGGACATGCACCCAGTCTCCCTTTTAAGCCCCATGTACCTGGGCATGGCTCCTCCACAGAAATACAGCCCCACAGCATTCATAAGCATCTCCTGTGCCAGGTCCCTCCCTGCCCACAGCAGTCACCTCTCTGCCTCTCCAAGGTCACTGTGCTGCTGGCTCCCTGCGCTGCTCTGCTCGGAATCCAGGTCCTGCCTCACACCAGGGCACCACAACCAGCTTCCTCTTGGGAGCCACAAGACTGAGACCCGTGGGATCGATGTGTCTGGGCAAATACTCCTCGGCTCGTGTTTTGGTCAACACAAGCTTAGTCAATACCTGTGCCAAGGGATGGCAGGGACACACCCCCAGCCACCCTCCAAGCATCCCTTTGTGGCAGCACAGCTCCTCCAGCCACCCTCCCCATCCCTTCTACTCTGGCCCTTCTCCATGGGGCCCTGCGCAACCCACAGCCCCACACCACCACCCCATTCCCACAGCGTACCCCACGAGGGCAAGGAGACCCTGGCTCCCCTGGGCTCTGCCAGCTCCGGAACACAAGGACAAATGCCCAGCTCCACCACCCCAGCCCTGCCTCTGCCTGGCCCTGCTGCCCCCAAGCAGGAGATGGGACGAGTCTGCTCAGGCAGAGTCTCAGGCACCCCTGACAGGGAAAGGTTTCAAACCAGCTGCAGCCAGCAGCCCCCTTCCAGCCCCCAGAGCCAGCTCACACCACGTTCCAGCCCCCCTTCACCTTTAAGAAGCATAACGAGTAGGACCTGGACACGTGAAGATAGAGATTTATTATTCTATGTTTGTTTTACAGAAGAGGCTTGATGCTGAGCTGCTGCCATCACCCTCTGTGACTCCCTTAGGCCAGGAACACAACAGCTCCTCCTTAGACACGGGATATTTTCCACAGTTTCATTCGTTCCCAGTTCTGGTTGGGAACCAAGACTAACATTTCGGGGTTTGGCGGTTTTTTTTGTTTGTGCGTTTTTTTGTTTTGTTTTCCTCCACAAGCAACCAAGGGTTGTGGTGGCTCCAGGGCCCCCCGCCGCAGCAGCAGCGCCCCCCCGCGGCCTGTCTCCGCTTCGGCTGAGCAGGGAAGAGCAGGAACAAAAGGCAGCGACAAGTCAACACGCGGGTGTGAACCCGATTCAGTCCTTCTTGAACTCAATTCTTTCTACTTTCACCTCGTCTCCGATTAGTTGGTACACATAAGTCACAACTGTGGAAGCCTGGATGTCCATCAGTACAAACGAAGGGATGGCATTCCTGGAAAGAAAACATACTTTGTCCATCTTCCCAATTAGCTTATACTCCTTGCTATTAACGTACCTTATGCTCATGTGGTTGCTGAGGGTTGCAGAGCTCTAGGAAACACTGCAGTTTGCAGGCAGTATCTCCAGCAGAGTCACACTTAGCCCAGAACAGCCCTCTGGGCTTCTCAGCAGCCTAAGTGGGGTCAGGCTCAGACATTTGGGCTGGCAGTGCCTCCAGAAGCGTGACTGCCTACAAAATATTAGCATGCAGCTTCTGGGAAGGCACCAGAAAGCAAAACGACTTCAAGAAGCTGCTGCAACTCCCCCCTCTCCAGCCCCAGGCACACCAGTGCCGGGCTGTCCTGCCCAATGCACAGGCCAAGAAAAACCCTGTAAGCCAGGGGAGCCCCACTGCGTCCCCCGGGAAGGGGGGAGCTGCCCTCCTGCTCCTCACAGCCCCTCACTCACGCCCGGAGATGGACAGACACATTTCAGGTGCTGCACTGGGCAGCCCAGGGCCCCCCCTTGCTCACGTTTCCAAAGCACTGTAGGCTCCTGTAGCTGATCCCGGGTTGATGTAGAATTTGTTTTCATGTTCAAACGCCTCAAATCTGTGTGTGTGTCCCGAGATGAGAATGTCCACATCCAGTTGCCTCTGCAGCAGCACCAGGCTGGCCACATCACCCCAGGGAATTACTTGATGGCCGTGAATCAGCCCGATTCTAAACTGCCCGACAGTTACAACCTTCTCCTCAGGATAATTCAGGCTCTGAGAAGGAGAAAGGCACAGACTACAGATCAGACACCTCACCCGGGGTCCTACATGCTGAGGCACAAACCCTCATTTCACTATTCAAATGCACAAGCCTCTTTCAGTGTGCAAACCCACTGGATGCTTGTGCCACACTCCAGTAAAAGCAACTGCAGGGCACAGAGTGGGGAATTTGCACACAAACCAGGCCACCCAACAGTAAATAAACACACACACAAGCCCACAGTTCCTGCAACTACACAGTCAGCTGGAGGATTCCAGAGGCCTCACAGGAATCACAGACTTATGTCAGAGTTCACACAAACCAAGCACATGTACTGCCCCCCCCACACCCTGTCCCCTCTGCTGCAATTGTAACAAGAAGGGTCTAGAAGATAATTTCTGTTTTAGTCTTACTCATCCCCACTTCTTACCCTGCTGAATTACAGTTCAGGAATCACTAGTCCTGAACCTCCCCAGGTTCCATCAAGACAACTACAGCCTGCAGGAGGGGATGCTGAGGAATTAAGGGCAGCCAGAACATTACCTCTGCGTCCCCCCTAACAACGTGGATGTCCCCAGCCAGAGTCCTGAGGTAGTCGTAGCTCTCCTTGGTGCAGAGGTTTCCCGTACACAAGATGTGCTGAATCTTTCCAGGAACCAGCAGCTTCTTGAACTTCCCCGGCAGACCCCTGCACCGGTGTGGGATGTGAAGGTCCCCTAACACCAACACCAACTTTGCACACAGCAGGAGGAAAGAGAGAGTTTTAACCCAGAGTTTACTTAACAAAAGAGCACAAAATCTTTCTGCCTCTCGAGGGCGTTCTCAAAGCCCGGAAAACCATCACAGGCCCAGCAGGGACTTCTTTCAGATTCAGCTTTGAGGAAACAACCCCGCAGCGTGCCCGAGCTGCCCCGCGGCCTGCTCCCCCCGGGAGAGCCGGGCGCCCTCACTCCCTCCCGCACGTAGTGGGAGAGGAGGCAATGCGCCGCCCGGGGCGCACCAAGGCGGCGGGCTGGGCCAAGCAGCCTCCCCGCGCTGAACCTGCGGGCCCGGCGGTGGCGAGAGGCGGCCCCGGGCCCCCTAGGCCCCCGCTCACCATCCTGCTCCCCGCGCAGCTCCGGCCGCCCCGTTACCACGACGCGCACGGCGGTAACCAGGAAGTGACGCGCCTCCTTTTCCTCCCCTCTAAACCAATGGCAGCGCCAGCAGCTCCCCACGTGACGCCGGCGGGAGGGGGGGGTGTCCCCGCAGGACTGGGCATGCGCAGTGCGGCGGCGGGGGGGGCGGTCGGTCGGTGGGTTGTTAATGGGGTCGGTGGGATTTCTCCGGGGAAAAACCGCATTCTCCTTCTGGGCGGAAACGGTCGTGTAAAGCGCCCACAAGCGCCCGAGCGGTTAAACGTGTCCTTCCCCCCTCGGGCGCCGTGGGGCTGTGTGGGGAGATGGCGACGGGGGGAGGCCGTGGGGAGGCGCTGGGGGCCGGAAGGGGGACAAGTCCTTACTGGGGGGATGATGGAGCAGGGTGCTGCAGACAGGGGTCTCCAGGGGAGCTGGGCTCTGCCAGGGCTGAGGGACACGGCTCCATCCTGGCCTGAGAGACCCCGCTGGGCTGGACACCATCGCGCCTTGGGCTCCCCCTACCAGCTCTGCTGCCCCAGGGCACGGCAGGGTGCCCATGGGGGATGCCCGAGGGGCTTCTGGGGACACCCCACGTGTAGAGTCCCAAAATGGTCTGGGTTGGAAGCTCATGGAGCTGAACCACCATGAGCTTTAGGCTCATGGAGTCCAACCACCAACCCAATGCTGCCAAAGCCCCCGCTAAACCATGTCCCTCGGCACCACGTCTACACCATGTAGCTGAGGAATAACCTTTATTATCAGATGAGCCAAACCGCGCCGACCCCCAAGCTGGGATGAAGCCCGCGCTGTGCCAAGAGCTGGGAGAACCCCAGACATCCCAGCCAGGGCAGAGCTCTCCGTCCTCCCAAAGCAGTGGGAGATCCCCGCTCCTCCGCCATCCTGGGCTGAGCCGGGGCAGGTCTCACGCCGTGCTGGGGTGTCTGGTGCTCCGTGAGGGATGTTCAGGGCTGAAGTTTGGGGTTGCTGCACCTCGCAGCCCAGGGCAGTGCTGCTGGGCTCCCTCAAGCACACGGGGGGGGGCTTTTTCCATCCCTGCCCTTCTCCCTGCTGAGGGCTTGGCGTCAGGGCTGCAAGGGAGAACACAGGGGGCTTTAGAAACGTTCCCCATTTCTAAAAGCGGCTGAAGGCAAGTGAGAGGGAGCAGTAATAGCTGCCGTTGTCCTCATGGCGGGCGGCTGTGATGATGAGGATGCAGGCGTTGCTGGCGAGGTCCTTGGTAGCAGAGAAGCGGTCGGGAACCGTGGCGGGCTTGTGCTTGTCCCGCTCGGAGTTGTAGTAGAGCAGATACCTCAGGGAGTGCCCCGGGCGCTGCTGGTACCAGGAGATGCCGACCGTGCTGATGTTGTACTGGGGGCTGAGGGTGCAGGAGAGGCGGGCGGTCTGCCCGGGCAGCACCGACACGGAGGAGGGCTGGGTCAGCAAGGGCTGAGCCCTGGAAGCTGTGCACACTGAGGATGCGGTTACTGATGGGCCCGAGCTGTGTCCCCCATCGCCCTCAGCCCCACAACGTCACAGAATCACAGAATGGTTTGGGTTGGAAGAGACCTTAAAGCTCGTCAAGTTCTGACCCCCCTGCCCTGGGCAGGGACACCTCCCACCAGCCCAGGTTGCTCCAAGCCCCCTCCAACCTGGCCTTGAACCCCTCCACGGATGGGGCAGCCACAGCTTCTCTGGGCAACTTGTTCCAGGGTCTCACCACCCTCAGAGTAATGAATTTATTCCTGGTATCTACCCTCTTCCAATTTAAAACCGTTGCCCCTTGTCCTGTCAATGGACGGCACAGGGACAACACCGAACCCACAAACTCCACGTTCCTCTCATTTAACAGCATAAAGTAATTTGCACTTGGAATAATAACATTAACATGGAAACAACTGGAAAAAATATATTGATTGCTCCAAGTTTTCCTCTTTTTCTAACAAGACAGCAGAAACTGTGTTGAAAAATCAAATGGGAAGGAAGGAGAGAGCGACAGGTGTGGGAGCCCCGGGTCCTATTTCCAGCTCCGGCGCTTGCACTAACC